TTGCTTCTTAAATAAAAACACTAGCCAAAGGGAACATGAACTCATATTATGATAGTATACAACATAGAAAATGTGACTATTGGAAAGCTAAATATTTTTCTATAATTTTCCACAGGAGGAGAAGATGAGGTAATTACTCCAATAAATGACCCATTAGGATGCGATTACAATGGAAAGTAAGAGAGATTTACCAGCATTAAGACTGCCATGGAATGTGCAGTAGATTATAGTGGTATCAAAGGGAGGCTATCTCTTTTTTTTATTATTAAAATTTGTTGGGGTGACAATGGTCAACAAAACAACATAGGTTTCAAGCGCACAATTCTGTACTATTGCCTTATGTGTTCACTACCCAGAGCCAGTTCACTGTCCATCACCATATGTTTGACTCCCTTTACTGTCTTCATCCATCCTCCTCCCCTCTTACCTTCTGGTAACCACTAAACGGTTGTCGGTGTCTATGTGTTTTTGTTTGTTTGTTTGTCTTGTTCCTTTGTTGCCTTCAGCTTTATTATGCAAAGTGAAATAAGTCAGACAGAAAAAGTCAAGAACCATATGACTTCACTCAGATGTGGGATATAAAACTGAAGGGAGGCTATCTCTTGGTTTCTCTTGGACTAGTCCCACTCTGACTGTGTCCCTTCTTGATGTTCTTCTAGAGCAGGTCCTCCATCAAGCACTGTGTTGGAAGACTCCATAGACCAGGGGAATTTAGAGTTCCTTCCCAAAAGCATTATATAGTCTTTCTGTGAAAAATGGAAGTGAGAGGTTTAGGGATTTCTTCTTTGTTGTTCAAACCAGATAGAACATTGTTCCCCACCATATTAGTTTCTCAAGCAAAGATTCACATCATCACATTGAGCATGCTTAAGAAAACATGGTTCTGTATAAGAGACAAATGCAACTTACCCAGAACCAGGTTTAAAATACTAGCGCAAAATAGGAGACATGGTGCAGCATAAAGGGGGTTTTAGGTTAACATTGAATTTCCTAACCACACCTTCTTCTCTAGGCGGAAGCTACCTTCCCTTTTTTTTGGCAGGGGAATTCTAAGGTCCAGTTGTGCAGGCAACTTGCAATCAGCAGATCCCTTTCAAGATCTGCTCTTGCAATTATATGAAAACTGAGTCAATTTCTTCTCATTCTCCACTCACATAATATTCTTTCTTCTTCACCTTTTTTCACATTTTCCTTCATTATTATATCAAATGACCTTATAATGGGATCAAGATTATCACAAAATCAATGAATAAGTAGGCTTATGATGGAAAATTTTATGTACACATAAAACAAAAGAGCAAATCTTATTTTACAAATTAGACCTTGTGAACCCTAAGGTTTCTGAACAAATATATGTAGCTGGTGACAAATAATAAGCTCATCAGGAGTATTTCTTCTCTTGATTTTAATTCACATTAACTACACAGCTTGCTGACATTATGTGTATGCTGTATGCATTGATGAAATAATGACCAAAGACAAAAAGTAGTTTATATTAAAAATCACCATAGGATGGAATTTTCAAGTATATATATATTTTTTTCCTCAGGAACTGAGCTACATTTCTACATTTGTCACTTCCATTTTTCTATAAAATCTTGTAAATTTGTCTCAGTATCTATCTATCTATATCTATATCTGTATCATCTATATCTATATCTGTATATAAAATAGGGACGTGATATCTAACACAACAATGATAATACGTCTGATGAGCATTTTTTTAAGATGAAAGCATCTTATAAACTATAAAATGCTACATAAATGTATGTTATTTTGCTTCTTAAAACTAGTAAACATATTTTCTCATTGTGTTAGAAAGTTAAGAAGAAATGAAATGTAAAGAAACAATGAGAAGAGACACAGAAGCCTTGTTTTAAGAATTAAAGGGGAATCATTGGTGAAAATTTCTGACAGAGCATGTGTAGCACTCACTGTGAATTTGAGTTGCCCTCCATGTTAGCCATGCCACACAGCTCTGAGCCTTCATTCCAGTTGTGCTCCTGTCATCTTTCCATAGCATGTTTCACCTTCTAGCATACTCTACCCTTTACTTACATTTCATGTTTATTGTTTATTTCTCTCTTCCCCGCTAGAATGCAATCTCCCTGAGGGCAGGCGTTTTTGCTTGTTTTACTTACTGAGTTATTACAGGAGCCTAAAAGAATGCCCAATGGATATGAGGTGCTCAGTTAAATATCTGTTAACTAAACAAATGAATGGGTCAATATTCACCAGGTTTTCAAAGGGTAGAGAGTTGTCTGTAGGAAAGGCATGCCAGAAGAAGCAGTGTTTAAGGAAAGCTCTGAGGAACAGGAAACCAGATGATTCTGTGGCCCATTTTTTCTGAGGGAAAGGGTCCAACGGTAGAGAGACACTAGCAGAGAGGAGAGATACCTGGTCTGAAAGTCCAGCAGGCTGTGATCATAGATGTCCAATGAAAGAGTTCATTCAAGGAGCATTTGTGGGATGTAGTGTCAAGCCCTATCTGGATGATACCAAGAATACAAAGACTAATGAATTGAGAATCTAGTTCTCTAGAGGCTCACAACTAATCCTCACTAAGTGCAATGCCCCATTTCTGACACATCCTAAGCTCTCACCTAGATTATTGCATTGGCTTCCATTCTTGACTCGCCCACCCCCTACCTGATCATCCCATGGTGTAGTCTCAAAACAACACCCATCAACATCAGTGAATTTTACTCCCTTGCTCAAAATCTTCTCATGTTTTCTCAACTCCTTCAGAATAAAAGCCAAAGGCCTTCCAGAGGGCCACAGCCCTGGAGGCACTGGTCCCAGCTTTCCCGCAGCCTCCTCTTCTGCGTATTCCTCCCATTCAGTTAGCTACAACCGTATTGATCTTTTTGCACTTACCCAAATGTGCCAGTTCTGCTCCAACCTCAAGGTTTCCACACATGCTTTTCCCTCTGATTGGAGTGCTGTTTCCCCAAATAGTCACATAGTTCCTTCACTCCTATTATTTAGTTTTCTGCTCAAGTGTCACTTTATCAGGAAATCTTCTCTGACCATTCACCATAAAATAGAAAACCCACCACACTCTGTCTTTGTCAGTTTTAATCACTGTTAGAGCAGCTGCTCAATGAATATTTATTGATTGAATGAAGGTGCTACTAACAAAAATGCCAAAGTTGGAAATTATGCAGCTAGATTAAAAGAAGAATATAGCCTGGAAAGAGGCTTAATTATTTAGCAGAACGTTTTGAGTGATAAAGGACAAAGATAAAGATTATTTAACAGATCGTGTTGTGAGAGCTAAAAAGTAATTTGGAAAATAATATGGAGATCATTTCACAGTGTATCATTTAAGGTTCTTGGCATCAAGCAATGGGAATCACTCTGGATTTTATTGGGAAGGTATTGATGATCATAATCATTAGGAGGCGATATCAAAAGGAGGATGGAAGGGGTCAGGGCCCTCTTAGCATGCTATGAAGTAGAGTACAGGCAAACACAGACTCTCATTGAGCAAAACACCTGGGCAGAATCTGGTCACTGCAATCGTTTGATCCTGACCTTGAATGTTTAATAATATGTAAAGTGTGATCGTTTCATAAGGATAAACTAGGACAAATAAATTTACATTAAAATGAGAAATTTGAATATTTTGGGGTACTGAGAATTATGGGGAATTTTTATTTTCTTTAGATTTCTTGTACTTAGTTTTTAGGTTTTCTACAATAATAAACACATATCTTTTTTTAAACAATGTGATATAACTATTATCAAAGGAAATTTCCCTTTGAAGCAAATTTATATGTTTATTATTAATATGTTGTGGAAGATGTGGTTTATTATTTTACCATTTTCTTTTTTAGGAATCCTGGGAGAAAATGTAGCCTTTCATAGTACCCCATAAAAAGTTATAGTTCGTCTGAGCTTTTGGTCAGTTTTTATCTCAAAGATAGTGTCCATATGTCCTTGAGTATGTTAGCTATTAAAAGCCTTGGGTTTCAATATAATAGTGAAAAACTGGAAACATAAATCTTCAAAAATAGAAGGTTGGTTAAACCAACAACATGCCCATATGACACATGCATGTATGTATGTTTGTATGTATGTAAAAAAAGATCCTGAAGTTATACAACAAACTGTCACAAGCATCTCCCCATGCAGAGTGGGGCAGTAATAACAGAGGGAAGTATTTTTGTTAGTTGAATATTTTACAGTGAGCATGCATTTTACTTTAATTACAAATCATATATGTAGAAAAAAGGCAGATAACATACACAAAAAATGTAGAGAAATGCAAAGGTATTCAAAGTGCTTAAATTTAAAAGTTTCAAAACAATATATATATTCTGAAACCTCATTTACAAACATTAAATAAAGCCTACATGAAAGTGTTCCATTTGGGGCCGGCTGAGTGGTGTGTTGGTAAGGAGTTGGCTTGGGATGCCAGCTCTGAGCAGCAGGACCCTGGTTTGGATCCCACATGAGGGCCAGTGACCCTGCACTCTCTACAGCTAAGATGCTGAACAACAGCTTGACCTGGAGCTGGGCTGCTGTGAATCGCCAGTGACAGCATAGGCTGCATTGGGGCTGGCCAGCAGCTGGCATGCGCTTCCCTGAACCACCATGAGCAGCCGTCCAATGGCAGGCGAGCGACTGACTCTCCGGAGAAAAGCACAATGATAATACCAACATGGGCCAGTGAAGTGATGTCCTCCACAACTAGACTGAAAAACAAAAGGCCAGCAACTTGTCTGCTCCCCTTCCCCAACTCCCCAAAGCTGTTCCCCTCCCCCAATTCCCCAATAAAATCTTTTTAAAAAAAAGAAGTGTTCCAGTTGGGGAAAATGTTATCTCTGATTGGCATGATTCTAAAGGAGATTTATTTGATTGCCTTTCTTTTCATATTTTAATAAACATACTTCCATGACTATGTCTTTCTTTAATAATAAAACCACCTTTTCTAAGTAGAGTTATAAGATATATAAATTTTTGCCTCTAAAATACAATAAAAATTAAAGCACATAAAACTAGGAAAATTTAATGCAGAAAGAGCTCATAAAATCAAAGTACCCAAAGATCTGATAGATAAGTAGTCAAAGACCACACACAGACAATCTCTTTTGAGGGCCAGTAGCTAGGGATAACATATGGAAATAAATATTCATTAATCAACAAAATGCAAATTAAAACAAGGTAACTCTTTATAGATTATATTAGCTAAAAATGTAAATGATCATACCCAGTACTTTTGAAGGATCTGTAAAACTGCAACCTGCACGCATTTCTAGCTGCACTCATTCATAGATGGGCATTAGTGCAGAGAGCAAGCTCTAGAACACAATGCTCTGGTGCAAATTGCATCCTGCCACTTCCAGGGTGTGCACCCTGGGCATAGGGTTTAATCTCACCTCAGCTGTAAAATGGGGTAATAATAACAATATCTCCTGATATGTCCTATTAGAAGCATTTAATGATTCAATACCCATAAATCTTCTAGAATAGTAAACATCTAATGAATATTAACTATTAATTATTTACTATATATCAACCAGGATCTCAACAGAAAATAGATACACATAAATTATCATAATTCAAATACCACCTATTTCAAAACGGCTATGCACAAAGGTGTGTGCAGAGTGTTGACAGGTCACAAGAGGTAGCCGAGGGACCTGAGGCTAACAGTAGTGGGCTATTATTACCCCTAATCCTGAAGGGTGATGCAGGGGAAGAATTTCTGAAACACAGAAGAATAGCTTTGTACGGAAGGAGTCTTGGAGAGGAGAAGTGACCTTCTGTCAATAGGCACCATCATTCAGCTTGAGGCAACCTCTTAAGTAGGGAAGCGGGGAATATGTCCTGACTTCATTTGTGTCTCTCCTTCTCTTGCCAAGGTTCCCCACCGGTTGAACCAGCTATTAGCCTGTGCGGAGCCAGCTGATGCTGTCCATGTGGTTCCACTTCCTGGCACGGAAAGCAGGGGGCAAAAGGCAGAGGAGTGGATCTGGCATTATCTAGGTCTACATCCTAGACCCCTCGTGAGAGAGGCAAAGCAGATTATGCAGTGCTGTAAGTTTCCACCAGGCCCTTCTGCCTTCTTAAGGACTTTTGGGGGAAGCAAATGTGTTCCTTTATTTTTCCTCGCAGAATACCTCTGCCAATTTCCTTCAGTCCTAGGGGCCAGTGGACACAGGCCCTGGAGACTGACTGTCTGAAGCACCATCCAATTATTCAAATAGTCTCTTTTTAGCTGCTAGTCTCAGACAATAACGCTGCTGGTTAGCTATCACTAGGCGGGGACTGGAATATTTTGAGCATGTGGATGAGGGCAGCCCATAGAACATCAGAGAAAAGTTTGATGAGAGTCTAAGCCTTATATAAGATTGAAATGGTTGTGATAGAGGCGAAGACCTCATTGCCAAGGTTATTGACCAGTGATCGCAGCTGATTCACAGTTATTGACCAGTGATCAATCATGGTTATTGACCAGTGGTTAATTTCTACCAGATTGAAGTACATGCTTGTCAGAGGCAAATTTCAGGCCCCAAAAGTACAAACAAGGAGTACAGAAAACTAAAAGAACAAGGGGCAAATTAGGCATATTAGTGAATATTTAAGTAAAGAATATATATTTAATAAAAAGATGGGTATAAATACATAGCTATTCCAAGGCTATAATATAGCCATATTTAAATCTGAATTAGAAAATAATTCAATTTCACCATTGCATTTAAAGTGTTTGTTTGTTTGCCTGTGTGCTAAGGAATAAACGGACTAAACATCCAATGAGGAACAGGTGCATTAAACGAAAGATGAATTTTTCTCTAAGCCGTTATATGAAAGTGCATACACTTCACCCATACAAGCTCTCAACTACAACAGGAAATGGTAACAGTGAAAATGACAAGTCTCCAGCTTCTTCTCATTTTCATCCCAGGGTGCTTTTGGTACCTGTTCTTCTCAACTCCTCAGTTCTTTTCTCCCATTGTCTGTTTTTGGCAGCTCCTCTTCCTCCTTGTCTCTCTGGGTCTTCATTCAGATCGGTTCCAGGAAATGAAAGAGAAGGTCTGTTAGTATGTCTCCCTCCTCTCTACGGCATTTATAGTCCTTCTCCCAGGGACACTATTATGCAGAAATAGCAGAGGAGATGTGCCAACATTGTGATGACTAGAACGCTTAGCCTTGTGAGCGAAGTCAAAGACAGGGAATATAGATCACTTGATAATACTCATAGCAATTTCAGGGATAAAGAGCATGCTACAAGCACCTGTAGCCCAAGTTCTTTTCTCTGGACTTTTCCAGAAAGGAATCTTTTATTTTTCTTAATTCCAAATTTCCAACAGTCGAGAATAAAAAGACAAAAAAATCACTTTCATCCTACCAATAGGTGGGAAAATATTATTGGCCCCAACTTTATAAACAATGCCTTTATTTAGATTTACTACACTGTTACTTACGAGTATATTTCTAAATAATCATTATCTGGTTATATTTATTGAAGTGGATTATCAAAATGCATAACACAGTCTTTCCATTAACTCTTTCACATTAATGAGTTGCTATTTAGTAAATTACTATTTCCCAGCACTAAAAGGAAGGAAGCCAGTGGCCTGAATGATTTTCCAAAGTGCCTATTAATAAACACCCAAGGCATGTATTAAAATACTAGCATGCTAAGGTCTTTGGGAAGTACCTAGGCATATGGACAGGGGTTTTTAGAAATGTGCATTAACGCTTTCATGACCATAGCCTAGTGTTCAATCAATTCCTCTTCTAGGTTTGGCTATCACTCTAATTTTTATTATATTTCGATCCATGACATTTTTTTTTCTCCCAGTAGTGTTTGACTGTCTCAAAGGTTTCTGTCTTGGAAGGCTGCCCCTTTCTTGGTCCTTTGTCTAGAGAAAGTAGGCTTTCCTTACAACTAAGTTGTGTCTGTACCTGTTGGCATTTCTGGGTTGCCAGCTTCTCCAGTTCCTAGTTGGAGGGAAGAAGAAAATCCAGAGAACTTGCCACCATGTCGTTTCTCAGGTCCTGAGGTCTCTGGCTGGTTGGCCATCTTCTCTCCACTTTTTTTTTTTTTAAGCTGAGCCATCCTGCCACCTGTTGGCAGCTCAGCGGCTGCTCAGCTCAGGCCGGGACTCGAACGCTGTTGCTCAGAGCTCAAACTCTTGAGCAAGCTCTTAACCAACTGAGCCACTCGGCCGGCCCTTCTCTCCACTTTTCAGAATCTACTTTAGTTTGTTTTGTATGTAATGTCCAGGGTGTTTAGTTCTGCTTAGTGGAAGGAATAGAGAAAATTATACCATTTCATCTCCCAAGAAGCGGAAGTCTCCAGATTTATTTATTTATTTTTTTAAGATTTCTCTTCTGGTAGTGATTTACAAACTTGTGTTTTTTTCCCCCAAAAGAAACCTTATACAAAAGTCAAGCTTAGAATGAGGAAAAATCTGGAATTATTTGAAGAAATGATACTTGAGCTTCACAAATTGGGCATCTTAATACTTTTGCAATGAAGTAAGAGTAAAACGTGCTGAATTTAGGTATAGTATTCTTATTCTTATCTAAATCTTAGCCTTTTTCTATGGCTAATACAAGGACAAGAACAAGAATTCTATCAAGGTTCTTTAATCAGCCAAAAATATGACATTAGCTGCTATTACTCTCTTCTCCTTGTACCTGGCAGGATCCATTCTCCTTGACAGAAAAGTACACATATAATTTCTCATTACTTGGTAAGTGAAACTGTCAAGATTGATAATGGCAGCCTCTTTAATAAAGATTACACTTGCCATCATCCATTGAAGAGATATATTGAATACCTACTCTGTGCCTGGCATACTAGAAACTAGGGAGGGCAGGTTACATAATTTGTGGGTGCAAGTGAAGAATGAAAGTGTGGAACTGCTTATTCAAAAAGCAGGAAAATGCCATTAAAGGTACTAATATGTACAACTCCTTTCTTCCACTCTGTTCCTCAACCATTCCTGGTGCACTGTAGCTGCTATTTAATATTGCGTTCCCTCAGACAATGGGATACTCCACTTCCTGGCCTACTTCTCTTCCCACAAGCTCACTGCCATAGTCCACAACTGACCGGCCACTCCACAGGATCTCTCTCTCTCCTCTATCTCTATAGTATCTATCATTTATCTATCTATCTATCTATCTATCTATCTATCTATCTATCTATCTATCTATCTATCTATCTATCATCTATCTACCTCGCTATATCATCTATCTATCAACTATCATCTATCTATCATCTATTATCTATCTATCTATCATCATCTATGAGGAAGTTTATTTACAGATGTGGGAAGAACATGGTAAGGGCCCTCCAGCTGGTCCGCAAGGGGGCAATCAGTGGAGATTGAAAACGGGTTCCCCAAGCCGGCTGCCAGGGAAGGCCCCCGGAACCAACAGCGTGTTTGCTGGCCTGAACCTAGAGGAGAGAAAGCTTGGTGCCTGATTCCAGGGTGGGATCTGGCCCAAAATCTTCAAGTTGGAGAAAACATGGAGGTAGTATGTGTATGTGACCCCAAGGGAAGGCCAAAGGTATAATGGCAGTGGAGACTGCTCACGCCTCGCCCTCTAGCAAATTCCATCACCACTATGAGATTGGGCACCATTCCAGTTGTTCTCAGAGGCAGCTTTCCCAGGCCCAGCATGCTGGGCCACGGGGCCCCCGATCTTGACTGCCCTTCGCTCCTGGGCCTGGAGTTTCCTGCTTATGCAGACTCTGTCAGCAAGGCCACCAGCCCCTTCTATTCTCCATGTAGAGCCTGCCAGGCTTTCTGCTGGGCCTGCCTTTACAGCTGCAACTCCCCACCTGTCTGCACCCAGTTAGGACGGCATCTGCCAGCTGCCCATTCTCAGCCTCCGGTTTCTGCACGTGGAGCTTCGGGGCATCCCATTGCTACAGGAAATAGGGCACTACAATGCTGCACATGTCTTTCTCCAGGATCCCACTAGGGCACCAAGATGGCTTCTTAAGATCTTCACCTTCTTCTACAATTGTATTCAAGGTATTCAAGATAGCTTCCAGGTTCCCCTCTGCCTTGAACCAGGGCATGTTTGGTACCTAGGTAGATGTGGATGAGATGTTTGGTAGTTACCCATGAATGTGTCGTCGTATTTCCAGCCTTGGAGGGGGACAGCTGCCATCATGCCACACCCCAAGACACAGGAGACCATACACCTAATCCTAACTCTCCCTGCACACAGGTACCCACCTCGGGTGGAGGGCTGCAAATGTTGTTGGGCAGGGGCCTCAAGGGAGAAGTTAAATGGCACCCAGGATACCAGACGGGACACTGGTCAGGGAAGCAGGAGGTGGGATCACCTGTGAGCCAAGGGTCCAAACATGTGGTACACGCTCCGTTGTCCTATAGGACTTCACTTACAAAATACAAATAAATTCCAAGATAAAATTTCTAAGAATTTTAAGACGGCAATCACAAAGCATTAAACTCTAAACACGAGGCCCTGCTCAGCACAGTGCCCTGTGTGACTGTCCTGGTCTCCTGCAGTGAAGCTGCCCGGACACTCGGTACACAATGGTGCAATGTCTAGAAATTCTTTTTAAGACTTCAAAGAAACTGGTTTAAAATTTAAAACTTTAGTCTTTTAAGCATATAGTTCATGTCTTTTGCTAACACACATTCAAGGAATTTGACTATATTTTAACTGAATTGTTGTGTTGTTTTGACACTTGGAAGACATTAACACTTTCAAGTGACTTTGATAAGATGAATCTGTTGACTTTCTTTACTTCATCATATCTTGGTATTGTGGTAAAGACATTTATTTTATGCTCATAAATTTCTTCCTGGTCTCATTATTATCCTGTAATTACTACTTTAAGACAGAAATGAAGTTCCATTACTCGATAGGGACTATTTTATTTCATCTAGAACAAAGAAGCTATGGCATATTTATTGCCAGTGGTGAACTGAAAATCCTCAAATGTCTCTCATCAACATCCTTATTCCTTTTTTCCCACTTTAAGTAGGTTGTTTTTTTTTTTTTAATTTTTACTTTCAGTGATACTCGGCATTAATTAATTCTGTGGCCTGAATCAGTACGTCCGTCTGCATGGATATCTAAGTGAATTGAATAAATTGGATTGTCTTCTAATTTTTTTCTTATTTTCTTGTAAAGTATATATTTTTAATGTTCAGATAAAATACTTAAGATCAAAATGTAGATTTTATAGTAGACTTTGGGATTTGGGCATGAGTTCTAATAAGGGTGTTAATAATGTCAATGATAATATGCTAATTTTTAGTGAATGTTCTTTCTGTGTCGGATAATACGTTGTAGGATTTATGTACCTTTTAAATTTACATAATCTTTCAATGTTGCAAAGTAGGAGTTATTGTTTTCATTTTACAGATGAGGAAATTGAGACACAGCAGAGTTAAATAATTTGCCCTAAGAAAGTGAGAAAGGTGCAATTTCTTCAACACTCAAGTTTTTTCCTCCATGCTATGTAGTCTCCCAAAAATGTCTTCTCTATCAAAGAAAGAAATATCCTTATTGCTATACATTTATTTTAAAAATATTGTTTTTAGGGCCGGCCGAGTGGCTCAGTTGGTTAAGAGCTCACTCAAGAGTGTGAGCTCTGAGCAGCAGGGTCAGCAGCTCAATTCCCAACCCAAGCTGAGCTGCTAACAGGTGGCAATATGGCTCAGCCAAAAAAATATATATGAAAAAAGAAAATAATAAATGTAAAAAGAAAATAAAAATCTGTATTAAAGATGGATGACTCTCATCAATGACTGCGTACAGATTACTCACTATTTGTTGTGTTATTGTTTGGTGTTTTTATTTGTTTATATGTTTAGCCATTGCAATATATAAAAATACCTCATGTCAAGAACAAAGTTAATTTAAAGGAACATTTGAAAGAATTGGCTTAAGATATTCACTCACTTGTCTTAGAAATAATGAAATTTGTCCTTAACACTCTTGGTAAGCAGTCTTGTCCATCTTGGAACTCACGCATGGAGAGATAGTCACTGAGGACAGAAAGGTTCTGTGATAACTGGATCCTCCAAAGATGTCCTTTGGCACAGACCTCAATGCCAGCACGGCAATAAAGCTACAGGTAGGTTATTTTTAACATATCGCAAAGTGCATTTGGGATTTGCTTATTTTTCTGTCTTTTTTTCAGTGCTTCTATCAACTCTGACTGATTCCACAACTTTTATGTGAAACTTACCTGGAACGTTAGCTTGAATCTTTAGAAATACTAGACCTGGGATTACCACATAGTGTCATTTTCCCTAACTGATTACAATGTATTTGAGATATTCACTTACCTATTTATTTGGTACAATCTAACCTCTTAATTCTTTAATATTTGGAAAAGGTTTAGAACCAAATGTAGTATATTTGAAGGAGTTTACTGAAGTTGCTTCCGTCTCTTACAAAGATGTTATTTATATGGAAGAAAAAGGAAGAACATAATAACAAAAGTTTGATAATTTGTAGTATTATCTATATTTTCTATATTGAGGGACCATTTAGCCTATGGTTATGAGTACAGACTCTCAAATCAGCTTGCCTCATTTTGCTCCCAGTTCTGTCTTATTAGCTGAGAAAATTTGAGAAAGTTATTTAAATCCTCTACGTCTCACTCTCCTCATTACTAACATACGCAATGTGTTAACAACTGTGTCTAGTAAACTTTATTAAGCATTAAGTATTAATATTGTTTGATTCATATTATTGTTGAAGTTGAAAGCAGCTTCCTAGGGCATCAGGTCTTACAGTTAACCCTCAGTATATGAGGGCTCCAAATGTCTTCATGACTTAAATCTCATACTCTGTCAACAGATTAACATTAGGATTAAATATATAGCTTAATTCTTAGCCAAGATCTTTTTCCTTTCCTTAACTTGTGTGGACAATTAATGTTTTTTTCCATTTATCTGAGCACAAGGTTCTCAGTAATTTTAGGCTGCTCTTGAGATGCCCACACTTTCATGTGTAACTATTGAAATCCTCTGTCGAAAGCAGCCTTCTTCCCAAAATTGTTCTGGCAGCTTCTTACTTATCCTCCAGGGTTTGGCTTACTCTATGACTCTTTATTTGAAAAGCCTTCCTTGA